GATTGTAGGGCTGCGAGGGTGTACAAGTACGTGATTTGACGTGATTTGACGATAAGGATTACGGGCATACATGCCATCCGTTCAACATACTCCCGCCCTCCACCCTTTTTCCGTTGCATGGTGCTAGGTGCTAGGCGTCCTCGGCGCTATCGTCCCGCCTGACGGCTTGCCACCGCCCATGGGCCCAAAACCCAAGGAGTTTTCGGCTTGGTTGGCGGAACAAGCTCAGAAGGATGCTTGATGTTGACGCCGGCAACTGCTGGCACTTTTCCTAGTGGCCGAGTGTCTGTACAAACGTTTCCCCCCGGCAGGCATTAGAACAGCAGCAGTTGGTATGACGATTTATTCAGTTTTTCATTAGGTCGGTTTCTTTTCGCCGATTGGTAGGTTTCTCTGTTTATTTGCAGTATGTTGTGTTGGGCTTTTGAAAGCCGACCGTAGCCCCTCTCGCCCTTCGCTTAGCAAGTCCTTTCGTTGTCTTGATGGCCTGTTGAAGGTCACATAGTTTTGTTTTTTGGTCCTACAGCGGACTGAATTCTTCATGGATGGATTTGGATGGATGTGAAACAAATTTAATTTATGCTGCGACCTCTACACAGCAGTCCGCGTTGAACAGCGACGAGCATTTTGACATGTGTTTGGAAGAAAGAAGCAGATGCTTCGCTCTTTACGCCCACGTGTCTTGTTTCCTCGGGACGTGGTTGTTTTACACGGAACGGGTACGTACACGGTTACACAACGGGTGGGCAAACATACATACATCAGGACGAAAAAATAGAGGCACCAGCAAGAGGAAGTTGGTCTCGACCGAATGGATGTGTGAACCCAATACATACCCCAATATCCCATCACCACATGATAATGACAAAGTGCTCATGGATAGCGTTATTTGGAAAGAGATTTATAGATGTGATGTGCTCTGCCACGGGTGGAAATTGATACCATCATGTTTTATCTTCTTTTGGAGAGAATCGTTGAATCTTCACATTAGAATATGGTCTCGTCTGCAAGGTATGTATCACAGGTATATTTTCTCCAACAAGTCTGATCATCCATCATCTACAGCATTAAGGAATAATATGCTGTCTGGGAAATCGTAGACATACAGGTACTTTCTGACCCTATGAATTCATTGCTAATCTGTCTCAGACTCTTTTCTATGATAGAGATGGATTCGTTGTGTTACATTAAGAAAAAAAAGAAAGAAAAAAACACAGAAAGACTACTTGTACCCATTCGAGATATACCTACAGCATGTTCCTCCGAGATAAACAACCAACGGTATATTCTCGTACTAACTATTTTTTCTCAACAACACAGAGGGGAGCGAGAAAAACCGTACGGGGCGAGGTGCCACAAAGAGAATCACATAGCTAGCTCTATGAAGTAGAAACTAACGAGAGCACTCTTTAGAACAACGAAAGCAATCTCTGCTGAACAATATCAAGCGTTTCAGAACGCCGTTCCCATCGGAAACCCCTTTGAGAGCGGGGGTACGGGGACAAAAACGCGTGCTGCGTACCGCGTCTTTCGGTCTTTCGGTCCGTAGCTGGCTGCCGCGTTTTCATCATCCTACATCATCATATATCATCATCAGCCGTCGGCAGCAGACAACGAAAGAGTGGTCTGTCACCCAGCCCCACTATCCAATTTGGTGGCAGGAGACCTAACGTAGCGGCAGCAGAGGTGCGGCGGATAGGAGCGCCGCGTTACAGCAGCAGAGCGTAGTGGTCGAAGAGTTGGTTGTGGTTGACCCTTCGGGATCAATCAGGCCCTGGCGGGGGAACAACTGCTGCTCTGTCCCCCTGTCGAAGTTGTAGCCCTGTAGATTCCACTATCGTTGTTGCGCGTCGGACAGATCGTGTCTCTCGCTTCAACTATGGATCGCGGCGACGAGGCGGAGGAGATGGTGCTACCGGAGCTCACCACGACGGTGCTTCCCTCCAACGGGCAGGTGCGTGTTCTGCTTCCAGAGGAAGAATTTTTCCCCTAGATACGCTGACGCTTGCTCGTGATGGGAACACCTGCTGCTGTGTGCTTCACGCCGCTGCTGCAGAGCTGTATTTTGATGGTGCATGTTGTAAAGGTGTGTTGCTCCCGAAGCACAAATTAATGGTCGTCGTGTTGGCGGTCGAGTGTTGAAGATAAACGGTAATGGCGGATGACCTTCTTGCTCCATGTTCACACAGAAAAAGCGTGTACTTACAAGCAACCCTTTGATGTGTACAAGTAGGAGCTGCTGCGCCCGGTACCAAATTCTTAAATTCTTAGGCACAACCAACTCAAATTTGTAACGTTTCAATATTCTGCAGTAGGGGAGACAGGCGCAGCCTTTTGCGGGTTTGCTCCTGGCTGCTGTAGCCTTCTTTGAAATCTTCTGCTTCGCGTCCGGCGTGGAACAGCAGTATTCTGTTGCTCGTACGTAGACCGGATAGGATAAACACACCTCACAAATATGGACCAAATACCCCGCGAACTTCTACTCTGCAATCAAGTAGTTCACATTTTTTTTTTTTCTCGTGGACTGTACACACACCAGTAGCTTACCTCCCACAGCAAGACTTACGTGGTACTGCTCTTTCCGGCAATCTGTTGCGCAGTAGGTTGGTTTGGACACTACCTAGGGATTTGATTGGTTTCCTAACTAAAAGTTGTTTTAAGTTTTTTATTAAATTATTTTCTTTTTAATCCTGTAGGAGCTACACACTGCTTTGCATGCATAAACAGGCATTGGCATGTATCGGGCGCCAAACAGGGCACTACAGCAGTACCTGCCGAGCAACCGATCCGTTGGCATTACAGTCATTCGGTCAAGAAGAAAGGCTGGGGGATAAAGAACCAGTCTTATCAGCGTCCGGCGCGTTGCAAATTCGCGGTTTACGGATGTTGCGAGACACGGGGGGCTGTAGTCTGTGCTCCGCGTGGTTTTTTGGGCACAAGCAATGCGGAGACAGAAACATCAAGCCGCCAAAGCGTCAACAAGCCGGAGGTATCTAGTAAACGAATGAATATCAGCAATGTGCGAGCGTTTGATTTTGACCTACAGCAGGATCGCAGCGCCAAGAGGCGTTCGAAAGTCCAGCAGTGGGCCGAGCTTACCAGCAGACAAGAGTGGGCGGGCGCTGCTACAGCAGCACTTCGCGCCCGCACTTTAAGAAGCTCAAACTCTGGGCGAGGCTGGGTTGTTCTCAATTCCTACTATATAGTAATGCTACGAATGGTCGCTATATATATAGGTTTTAGTATAGGGGTTCTTAACCGAGCTCACAAACGCTTCTCAAACTCTTAGATTTTAGGTTTTCGAGGCTGTATCAATTTCTTAACTGCCTACAATAGTTCTTAGGTGCGAGCGCTAACGGTATTTCGGCACTTGCGTTGTCCCGAGGGTGTGTGCATCGCGAACCCACGTTTGTCACAGCTGGCGCCAAGCGAGCATTAGACGAGATGGCTGCATCAGTTGTTTCATCCCAGCTAAATAAAAGGTCCCCCAGTGATACACGTGGTAAAGGTAGCCTCCTGACTCTCTAGCACACGCAACTGTCGTGAGTACACACTTCGGGAAGGCACTGCTCAACCCTTGTCGCGTTTGAAGATGGAAGGCAGGCACCGCCGGGGACAAGGCGGAGAGAAAAAGGAAACCTCTGTACTGTGTTTTCCCTCCTGTGTGACACCTGCGGGTTGGGCGACCATGTTAGTGCCGATACGTCCGGGCTTTGATTGAACGAAAGGAAAAGCCCACGTTCGCCCCCGGCTACACACACAACAAGGGGCGAGGTCGGTGGCCGCTGCCTCCGCCACATGCCTCCACACGCGGGGGTGTATTTTTTTATATTTTGGGGTAGAACCGGCTGACCGATAAAAAGTCTCAGTGCGACTGAACACAAAAAACGTTTTTTTTACAAAGTAAACATAACCTCACAGAAAGACTACCCGTTTGAGATATAACCTCAGTCGAAAGGGATGTGTTGAATTATTTTCAGTAAGTGGGTTGAAACCGACTGGAAACTGGGCTTATTTTGAGTTTGTGTAAGCCTATACACTGAGTTTATCAGTAATGCCAGTTGGTGCTAAGAACACACGCATCTGTATAGGTGGATACATTCTTAACACATCCCCTGTAGTTCTCTACTGGGTCGACGACAAAACTATCGGGGAGAAGCTCTCCGTTATGTCGTGTGTTATAGAATGTTGCTGTTGTGTAAACGTCCATGGTTTGGGAACCCCGTGACTCCTGTGTGTCCCATCGCCAGAAAAACATTCCCTCCGCTATTCCAAGCCGTGTGCTCTGATAATGACACCCCTTTTCACGCATCTAGTTGTAAACCCCACGCACACGTCGTGCCGTGATACCAATCACTCCGTACTACGCTGCTGTTCCACCCAACCAGCTCCTGGCAATCGAGACTGAAGAGCTGGTAATGGGAAGCCTGGCGGCGATGAGGGCGAACTTGAAAAAGGTACCGGCGTGGAGCCGCGCACCGCCCCCCACCGACGACTTCCTGCTCATGTTCTTGAGAAGCGAGGTCTTCAAGCCGCACAAGGCTGCGGATAGGTACCGCAAATTTTGGAAGGTATGGATGTTGTTGGTTCTGGTGATGGCGTGGCGCAGCGTAGAATGGTAGCAGTTGTTGTTGCTGGTGTAGTACTTGCTGTTCATGTTGTTGATAGTGGTGGTGGTGGTGGTGGTAACGATGGTGTTCTAGTCCTTGCTGGCGTGGTGGCGTGGTGGTGTTGACGTGGGTTGTCGGTGTTGGTATCGGTATGGCCGTTGAACGTGGTTTAATGAAAGTCACCACCGATCGAAATGGCTGAGCCCTGGGGTTCAGAACGTTCTGGTAGTAGACCCGCCCGCACCGGTGGGACTTGCACGCATGTTTGGCATGAAACAGAAGTGAGCATCACTGATCAAGCAAACAACCCTCTCTTCTTCAAACTTCTCTTCGCTTATACACTTCATACAGCAGCTGCGGCACATAAGTAGGAAACACGTGGTTAAGAAAGGCTGGGCCTTTCGGGAAAAGTAAGAACAGCTGACTTCAAGAAACACACCTGAGCCTGGATCCTACACTAAACTCTATATATTGACCCGTGCTCGACGACGGTGACAAGATGAGAAAATTGAGCCTCGACCCCCAATTTGACGTTTTTTATTCGCGGGCCGCAACTCCTGTACACAACGTTCTTTTTTCAAACGTATCTTCCCACGTACGCCAACCGCTCTTGTCACAGGTGAAGGTCGGCCTGTGCGGAGAGGACAAGGCGGCGTTCCCCATCAAGGTGGAGGACGCCAGGCTAGGCCTCGACCGAGAGTTCTGCCAAATAGTGCCCGGGAGCAAGGATCGCGAGGGTAGACAGGTAATCTTAATTGTGGCTGGGACATACTTGATTTCGGCCGTACGCTATTTTTATTTCACACTCACTTTTCAGCACGTGGGGTTATTTTTCTTTTTGTCAGCACTCTTTTGTTACTCCTACTTTCATTAGACCCCTGGGATACGCGGCATGGAGAGTGTTGTTTGTGAAAGCAGTTGATGAATCTGAACCCAGCTCCAGCTGACGTGGCGATCCCAAATGACGCCGAGGCGCCGAAACCTCCGCTCCTCTCCTAGATCATCAGCCTCAGCAATGCCAAGGCGGTAGAGCTGCCAGTGCTTCATTTCGAGCCGCGCCACAATCGCTCAACTGTTTTGCATCAGCTTGCTTTCGGCGAAAAAACGGAGGTACGTATGTTCATGCAGTTCGATGTCCCGCGATTGATTTGTTCGGTCTGCTGCTTGGCGTTCGTATATCGATCGTAACCCCCATGATAACTATCCAAATTAGGTAAACCCGGCAGACGTTGTGCACCTATATGGTGTTAGCTTGTCGCCAAGCGCTGTGTGGGCCAAGGTCTTGCCTCGGCCCGCGCTAAAACACCTCCCGCGCTAAAACGCGTCAGTATCGTCTTTGGTGACAGCTGCACGGGGACGTTCTTTGTTTGCAACCGCGTTGCTTCGAGCTATGCATCGTCTCGTCCACGCGGCACTATTCCGGGAAACAGCGCCATGTAAAGTGCTGTACACAGGTGAAGAACGGCATGCATACCGCGCCTCAATCATCCTCCGTTTTGAAGGGAGCGCGATGAGGAGGACAAGTTCTTTTCCGTATGGTGTGCTAAAACGCGGTTGCGATAAAACTCCTTCTAAATACTCTCTTATCCCACCAAACACATAACGGCATGGTGGCCCCACAAGCAAGGCAGCAAAGAGACAGGATGGGAAGGAAGTCGAGCAATGTATTACTACGTCAAGAGCGCGACATTCTCGAGCACTCTTGCTATTGTTTGCAAGAGCGTCGACTAAGGCAAAACATCAATTGAGTGCATCCCCCCCCCCCCGCCCGCCGCAGATTGGCGTATGTATTTTTTTTCCACCCGTTTTACCTCCAACTTTCCGGAACAAACGGAGGTAGTATTTGACTACGAAGGGATATGAGACGGAAAGGGAAGGACAGTAGTTAGCGAGAGCAGCCAGCCCGCTGCGATTTGCCTGCAAACTCTTCCCCACCCGATCCGCTTCCTCTCTTTGGAATTTCTTGCCATACCCCCCCCTGTCTCACCGCCCTCCTGTCACCCTTCTCCCGCCACGGGAGAGTGTCTGATGAGCTACTCCCCGACGTTAATATAAAATGGCAGAAGCACTAACAACGAGCGCCCGACTGTTGGCGGTGTTTTTTATGAGGAGCAGGAACTACCGGACTACCGGGGATGCTTTTCGACAAAGGAACCGTAGCCGTTGCCCAAAGCCGAATGGCAAAGGGGGGTGTAAAATGAGCCCCCCCCCCCCCCCTCGCGCGCACGCGACTGTGCATCGTTTGGGTAGCCGGGATGCCCAATCAACCCATGGCATATCTGGTTGGCACGGCAAATACCAACTTGGACAGCTTCTGGTTCACCCTAGCCTGCGCCGGCGAAAACCCGGCATACATATGGCTCCGTCCCGGCATTGTAGGGATGCGAGGTCTAACGACTGCGGCATGCGCTTACATGAGTAACCGTTGCCCCTCCGCGCCCCACCTCTGCTGGGTGCTTGTACTGCAGGTGGTACTGGTGAACACTGGCCAGGCGGACAAGACCTTGGATAGAAAAATGAGAGTCCGCGCGGTGTGGTACGTGCTGCTGGCGGCGTTGGAGGACGTGGAGACACAGAGAAAAGGCTTTTGCTTCGTGGTTACCCTCAAGACGGCTAGGATTTCCCAGGTAAGCGACCCTTCAGTGCACCACATAATGACTTTAGAGGCCCAACATAAGTCCAGTGTATAGGCTTGAACAGACGTGAAATATGTCCAGCATGCAGCAGATTCCGTTGCTCTCAAGACGGCTAGGATTTCCCAGCTAAGCGACCCTTCAGTGTACCACATACTTCCTCTGTATCATAAGTCTGTGCCGTTATGGGCGCTCAGTCGTTGGGGTACTTAAACGTTGACGTTAGCCTTTGACCGGGTGCGTTAGAAAGGCAAAGAGAATACGAACATGACTAAAAAAAAAGTAATCGAAGACCGTGTTACACACTAAAATTAGGTCAAAATATGCCCATTTTGGCCGTAATTCGGTATGAATTATTGAGAATTATTTTGAGAATTTTACGACTTCGCAGTAGAACGCACCGGCGCCAGAAAGCGACAGAGGGAAGGGACGTTGGAGAGGGTGGTAAAATACGATAAGGAGGCTTTTGAGAAGGCTTACGCCTGGATGGCATCGAGTCCCAGCGACAGCGAGGACGACTAATCGAGTTTTTCCCTTTCTTTTCCCCCGACGGCAACAGACACTTTTTTACCCCGCAAGTGTCTTGGTTTTGGTGTGGGAACCCCAAGTGTCTTGGTTTAATGTGGAACCAAAATTGTCTTGGTGTTTGTGTGGGGTCACGATTATACTGGTTTTGAGTGTTGGCGGACGCGGCACGTATCGTTGAGTAGGAGCGGGGGGTTGGGTTCGGGCAGTACTGTTGTTTCTTGCCCCGCAAGTGTCTCGTTTCTTGTGTGGGGCCTCCAAGTGTCTTGGTTTTAGTGTGGAACTCCCAAGTGTCTTGATTTGAGTGTGGGGGGTTACTATTATACTGGTTTTAGTATAGGGGGCGCGTTTGGCTGATGGAGTATAGGAGGGGGGTTATCTTTGGGGCGGGGATAATTCTTGAGTTTTTGGGGGCGGGGCAGGCGTTTAACCCCACCCACCCCATACCTGGAAAAGGGCAAAATATGGCCGTTTTTAGGCCAACTCAATGTTTTCCGGCCGTTCAGCCGCATGGTTCAAGCACCAACTAAAAAAAAATATTTTTTTTTTCTTGATAAAAAATCGCCGGAGAATTCAACGAAAACATCGGAAAACAGATCGGACACCGTTACGGGGGCGCAAAAACATAACGGCACAGACTTATGATACAGAGGAAGTATAGACTTAAAGAGGCCCAAAATATGTCCAATGTATCGCCTTGGACAGACGTGAGATATGCCCAGTTTGCAGCAGATTCCGTTGCCCTCAAGACGGCTACGGTTTACCAGGTAATGAATCCTTCAGCGCACCGTGTATAGAATTAAACAGCCCCCCAATAGTCAAGCGTATAGGTTTAAACAGACCTAGATATGTCCTAAATATGTCCAGTATCACGAGGGCGCACAATTTTTTTTTCCGACACCTACCCGACAAAACTTTTTTTCAGGCCTCTCCGGCTCTCCGGTGGGGGGGGGG